AATAAGGACACAACAATCCAAAATCTGGGGACACACAGAAAGCAACCTTAAGGGAAATTCATAGCCATACAAGCCTACCCCAGGAACTAAAAAAAGCTCAAATAAACAATCTAATTTCACACTTAAAGGAACTCGAAAAATAACAACAAACAGATCCCAAAGTGAGCAGAAAGAAGGAAATAATAAAGATTATAGCAGAAATAAACAAAATAGAGTCTTAAGAAAATGATACAAAATATCAATGAATTCAAGAGCTGGTTCTTTAAAAGATAAAAAAGATTGACAAACTTTTAAACAGACTCATCAAGATAAAAGAGAAAGGCCTTGTCAAGAAAAAAGAGAGAAGACCCAAATGAATAAAATCAAAAATGAAAGAAGTAACAACTTACACCAAAGAAATACAAAGGATTGTAAGAAAATATTATGAACAACTATGTTCCAACAACTGGACAACCAGGATAAAACGGATAAATTCCTAGAAACATATAATCTTCCAAAACTAAATCAGAATGAATCAGAAAATCTGAAATTGAAGTTATAATAAAAAAACCTCCTATCCCAAAAGCTCTGAACCCGATGACGTCACTGGTGATACCAAATATTCTGAGAAGAACTAACATCCATCCTTCTCAAACTATTTTATAAATTTCAAGAGGAAAGAAGGTTCTCAAATTTGTTTCACAAGGCCAGCATTATCCTAATTCCAAAACCATATAAAGACACTACAAAGAAAGAAAATTATAAGCCAATATCCCTGATGAACATAAATGCTAAAATCCTCAACAAAATATTAGCAAACCAATACGGCAATGCATCCAAAAGATCATACACCAGGATCAAGTGGGATTTATTCTGGGAATGCAAGCTTCATGCAACATTTGCAAATCAATAAATGTCATTCACCACATAAACAAAATAAAGGGAAAAAAACCACATGATCATATCCGTAGATATAGAAAAAGCATTCAATGAAATCCAGCATGCATTTATGATAAAAACTCTTAGCAAAGTGGGATTAGAGGGAACATACCTAAACACTATAAAGACCATATATGACAAACCCACTACCAGCATCACACTCAACTGGCAAAACTACAAATGTTACCTTTAAGATCTGGAAAAAGACAGGGATGTCCTCTTTCATGTCTCTTATTCAACACCGTACTGGATGTCCTAGCCACAGCAATCAGACAAGAAGAAATAAAAGGCATCCAAACTGGAAAGGAAGTGGTAATACTGTCATTATTTCCAGATGACATGATACTGTACATAGAGAACCCCAAAGATTCTATCAAAAAGAAAAACTACTAGAAGTGATCAATGAATTCAGCGAATAAACAGGATACAAAATTAATATGCAGAAATCAGTTGCATTTTTATATGCCAACAACAAACTAACAGAACAGGATATTAAGAAAACAATCCTGTTCACGAATGCTGCAAAAAGAATAAAATACCTAGGAATAAACCTAACCAAAGATGTAAAGACCTGTACTCAGAAAATTATAAGAGTGAAGAAAGAAACTGAAGATACAAATAAGTGGAAGCACATATCATGTTCATGAATAGAAAGAATTAACATCATTAAAAAGTCCCTACTACCCAAAGCAATCTACAGACTCAATACTATTTCTATCAAGATTCCAATGAAGTATTTTGCATAACTAGAAAAAATATTTCAAGATTTTATAGGGAACCACAAAAGGTCCCATACAGCAACAGTGATCGTGGGGAAAAAAGAACGAAGTTGGAAAAATCATACCACCTGATATAGAACTATATCATAAGGCCATAGTAATCAAAACAGCATGGCACTGACATAAAAATAGACACATAGATCAATGGAGCAGAACAGAAAGCCCAGAAATAAACCTACATTTCATAGTCAACTAATATTCAGAGGAAGCAAGCACATACAATGAGCTAAAGATAGTTTATTCGATAAATAGTGTTGAGAAAATTAGACAAAAACATGCAGAAAAATTAAAGTAGGCCACCTTCTTACTCCACACACAAGAATAAATTCAAATGGATCTAAGACTGAAATGTTAGACCTGAAACAATAAAAATCATAGAAGAAAACATAGGCAGCAAAATTTCAGAAACTGCTCATAGCAATATTTGATCGCATATATTTCTCCTGGCAAAGGAAACAAGAGAAAAAAATAAACAATTGGAACTACATCAAACTAATAATGTTTTGCACAGCACAGGAGACCATCAACAAAATATAAAGACAACCCACAGAATGAGAGGACATATTCGCCAGTACATTTGATAAGGGGTTAGTACTCAAAATATAAAGAACTTACAAAACTCAACACCAAAAAAACAAACAAACCAATTAAGAAAGGGCAAAGGACCTAATAGGTCCTTTGTTCTCCAAAGAGGACATACTGATGGCCAACAGACATATGAAAAGATGCTCAGTGTCACTAATCATCACAGAAATGCAAATTAAAACCACAATGATATCACCACACATCTGTCAGAATGCTTATCATCAATAAATCATCAAACAAGTGCTGGCAAGGATGTGAAGAAAGGTGGGAATGCAGATTGGTGTAGCCACTGTGGAAAACAGTGGAGATAACTCAAAATATTAAACATGGATATACCTCTTGACCCAGCAATCCCACTTCTGGGAGTATATCCAAAGGGACCCAAAACATTAATTTGAAAGAACATAAGCATCCCTGTGTTCATTGCAGTGTTATTTACAGATGCCAAGATATGAACGCAGACCGTTTCCATCAGTAGATGAGTGGATAAAACAACGATGGAACATTTACACAATGGAATACTGCTTGGCCATAAAAAAAGAAAATGTTACCCTTTGCTACAGTATAGATGGAACTGGAGAACATTATGCTAAGTGAAATAAGCCAGTCAAAGAAAGACAAATACAGTATGATTTCACTCGTATGTGGAATCTAATGAACAAAGTGAACTAACAAGCAAAACAGAGGTAGACTCATAGATAGAGATCAGGATGACAGCTTTTTCAGGGGTAGATGAGGGGGTGGAGGGATTGAACAAAAAGGAAAAAGGACTCACAGACATGGACAGCAGCATGGGGACTGCTGGGATTGGGGGGTGTAAGGGGACTAAATAGTAACTGAAAAATATACAATAAAGATTAAATATCTTTAAAAAGAAACTTTTCAGGCTAGAAGAGATTGGCAAGAAATACTCAAAGTGATGAAAAGCAAGGATTTACAAACAAGATTACTCTACCCAGCAAAGCTTCCATTTAGAATCAAAGGACAGATAAAGAGCTTCCCAGACAAGACAAAGCTAAATGAATACATCACCACCAAACCAGCATTATATGAATGTTAAAGGATCCTCTTTAAGAAAATAAAAAATATGAACAATAAAATGGCAACTAATACGTATCTATCACCAACTAAATCTAAAAAGCAAAATAAACAAGCAAAACAGAAACAGAATCATATATACAGAGAACATTTTAATGGTTGCCAGATAGGAGGTGGGTCAAGGGGGGATGAGCCAAAAAGGTGAAGGGATTAAGAAGTACAAATTGGTAGCTACAGAATAGTCATGGGGATGTAAAATACAGCATAGGAAATAGAGTAGCCAGAGAATATATATGCAGGACCCATTGACATGGACAGCGGTGTGAAAATCGCACGGAGGCTTGGTGGAGGGAGGCAAAGAGGAAAAAATTAGGACAACTATACAGCATAATCAATTAAATATAATTTAAAAATTACTTATTCTTCAAAGAGGATAAGTAATCAGTCTAAGTTAGCTGCAAGTATCAGAGGCAGAATTCAGTGTACAATCTGACTCAAGCTCAAGCTACTAACCATTAGGAAATATTATATCCCCCTCCCCCCCAAAATTAAAATCTGTCTAAATCTGATCTAGTACTAGACAGGACTAAACTCAGGAACAAAATAGGTGCATTGTACAGATTTGTTCCGAAGTAACTAGTTTAGCATTGTACAAGTAAATGTACACAGTAAAGCTATTAGGAAATACATATTAATGTCCAGAATTAAATAAACTTAATATTTTCCTCTCATTATAGTTGTATGGGTGTATTTTGGTAATATATTTTAAAAATATATTCTTCCTGGCCACTATACTTGGAAAAAAAGAATGTAAGAAATTTTTCAAGGAAATTTAGGGATGACTACCACAATCAATTCCTAGATAAGTTAGAAGGTACACTCCTAAAAAGCAGGGACCATATTTTGTTCATCATTATATATCCATGTCTAGCATATAAGTGCTTAATTTGTATATATAACTTATAATTAATATATCTTACATATTTATATGTAAGATATATATATGTAAAATATATATAACTCATATATATATATATACACACACACACACGTCTTTCCACCAGTCACCCACTTCTTGATAACCTATAATGCTAATCTTGTGTAAATTATTAAAGCAACCTTCTAACTGGTGTATATTCATCTCCCTTATCTTTTCTCAGCAGACAGAAGAATCCTTTTTTAAAGAGCCAGGTATTTCACTGCTATGCTCAGAATCTCACAAGGTCTTCCATGTCAGAGGAAAGTCTTACTGTGGCCTAGAAAGCCTGTGACCTCCCCTCTCCACTCCCTGCTACACCTCGACCTCCCACCACTCCACTCTCCTTACCATTCCTCAAATATTTCAGGTACAACTCCCCTTTTAAAGCCTTTACATTCTGTATCCTCTGGAAAGTTCTGCCCCATGTTATCTGCATGGCTCTCATCTACTTACACCTTTGCCCAAATATTTTCCTAATGAGTTCTACATAAACCACTTTAATATAGAAAGTTGCAAATCTACCACCCCCCATTATCCCAGCTTTTCTTATTCCACAGGATTTTATCATACTTACATAATTTAATGAAGTTTGTTAATCATCTGTCTTTTAAGACTTTGGCATCCCAAGTGTAGAATGGCATCTAGCATAGAAATACCTGAATGAACGAATGAATCTTTTTATATCCCAAACAGCAGGTGCTCAGTATATATTTATTGAGTACAGATCATGAAATTACATTTACCATGGATTAATATGCTTAACCAGAGCATGAAGCCTATTTAGATGTCAGCTCTGTAACTACAATTACTAGATATACACAACAAAATTGTAACAGTAGTTACCTCTGGAAGGATAATGTTCACTGCATCAGTGGTCAAGGGGACCTTCAGCTTTATTTGTAATATTACATTTTTCCCTAAAAGATGTATCACTTGCGTCGTTAAAATGAGTGCAGATTTAAAAACAAAAATAAGAGGTTTTGGAAAGAACACAGCAAGAAAAGGGAGTACGATTTTTCAATCTGGAAGCAAAGGGAGGACAATTTTAAAGGTAGAGTAAGAAATGGATTTAAATATAGTCTGAAACTGTGCTTACAACTACTAAAAATAAAAATGGAATACTCTGAGGTAATAAATTAACGTTTCAAAATGCTAGATTTTTAAAATGGCATGATCCTGTCCAATGTGAGAGCTAAACCCAAGATCTATCACTGTTCGTTTCAATCCTTTGATTCTGTAATGCCTTAAAATTCTTAAAGATAGGGAGATGGGACAATGAAACTTGAACACTGAAACGTTCATTTAAGAACTCCACCTTAAGCCCCAGCTGGTGTAGCTCAGTGGATTGAGTGCTGGGCTGCAAACCAAAGGGTTACTGATTTGATTCCTGGTCAGGGCACATGCCTGGGTTGCAGGGCACTTGAGAGGGAACCACATGTTAATGTTTCCCTCCCTTCCTGTCACAAAATTAATAAATAAAATCCTTTAAAAAAGAATTCTACATAACACCTTTTCCCTCAATGATGGGAAATTGAAAGGGCATAAATCAAAACAAAAATATTTGAAAATCCAAATGTTTTTATTAGTATCACTACTACTAAGTATTTTAAGTGGCTAACCTCCCTCTCCTCTTTAAGTCTAGGATATCCACTATTGTTTTATTAGATTATGCATAAATTACAATAATTCTGCTTGGTTTCAAGGTCACAGTTTAAAAAATTAGTTACAGTGAAAAATATTCACTTCAGAAAACGTATAAATATGGTTAAGCTTCAATTAACATAAATATACCAATTTGATGGCTAATCTATTAACTAGAAAAGTATCTGTTTTAGATATTCGTGAGTTTTTTCCATGTATTTACAGGACTTTTCACAATTTTTTTTTTTAAATAGGACTACAGGGCTTTTCCAAAAAGGTGTATGAAAGGTACTCTTCCAGTATGTTAGAACCAAGCCTAGAGCATCTCTGTATACTTCACACAGTAAGTTCACTATGTGAGTTTAAAAATATGTTCAAGTATCTTTTCCATTGAATGTTCAGTGGTATCTAGTTAGTATTTACAAAATAATTGAGCCAGTGGTTTTCAAAGGGCAAAATGGACATATGATCTTTGCAACTATTTCCCCAAATACTATATAACTTTGAACAAACATGCCACTGAAGAAATTTAACATTCAACTTGCTCATTTAATCTCCAAAAGTGAGTCTAATTGTCTGTAAAAATTCTATCAACAGAAACATGGAAAATTCTGCATTCCCCCAAACGTGTCATCGTCAGGTAAAAACTCATTTAGGCAAAATAGTATTTATGCTTCCATTTTATTGTTTTTAAGAATTAAACTGCCACCTCAGTAGTCTTAAGAGCAATATAATGAAACATACATACATTTAATTTAGACTGTGTCCATTATAGTTTCAAAGGCTTCCCTGAAATACGGCTGGAATTCACATCTTTTTTCTTCAAAGAAAGAAACACTAGCAGTAATTTTGTTATCCTTATACCCACCCACCCTCATTCAAACAATAACTGAATGAATTCAAGTCTAACACATTTAAAAATTGTGTCTGTTACAACACATTCATCTGATTTGCCTCCTTGCATAACTTGTATTTCTTAAACCTAAATGAAAATAAATCATTTTTAAAAGCCTAGAATTCTCTTAATATGTGGGATTTTATCATGATACTATTTTTTTTATGTCCAATACATATAGGCTAAGTGGTTTCATAACCACATTCAACTCTAGCAAATTTCAATAAAACAGAACAGTTCTTCATAAATAGTTGAGCTCTAAAATGAATTTGGCTATTCTCTTATTACATGAAACAAAGAATGGTATTAGATTTTCGATACCACTTTATAACAGTTCCTATATATTAGCATGAAAGGGAATCAAGTTTGCACCAGTCCGAGTACCTACAGTAATTTGATAGAAGCACTCACCACCAACTTTTCACACTATTTCACTTCCATGCTTCTAATAACAAAAATTTCTCACCAGAAATATTACATTAACACTGGACTCTCAAATTGACAGGTGTGAAAAATCATTTTTAAAAGTGTGTTGTAGCTATTTTTGACTGGTCAAGGTTGAAATGGCCATTTATATTATTTCTAACTTCAGCTCTAAGTTCATAAATGACTTAGCATCTGATTAATCAAGATGAGAAACTGTTTTGCCTGTACCTGACATAATTAAATGGTGAAAAATCATTTTTAAAAGTGTGTTGTAGTTATTTTTGACTGGTCAAGGTTGAAATGGCCATTTATATTATTTCTAACTTCAGCTCTAAGTTCACAGATGACTTAGCATCTGATTATTCAAGATGAGAAACTGTTTTGCCTGTACCTGACATAATTAAATGGTAAATTAGCAATCAGTTCACCCTTTGTCAAAAAGAAATGTTCTAAATTTATACACTACAAACTATTCAATAAAGGATATCTGCATACTACACATTTCATGTTTATATTATGCACCATTTTAGGGGGAGGAAATACTTCACAGGGGTTTATTCAAAGGATATATAGTAACATCCTATGAATAATGAATTGTACATGAATTCTGTAGAAACTGAGTGGTCATCTTAGGTGGACTATAACAAGCCCCTATAATGCAAAAGCTGACTCTAAAGGCACCTTATAAAGCACTGAAATTCATAATTTAGTCATTACTTTTCTCTTCTCCAATACAAAATCATCTGGTAATCTTCACTGCTGACTCCATGTTAAAATATCCCAAGTTTTAGACTGCTTAACCAATAAAAGAAAAAGGAAATCATTAATAGTTTTAAAATTTCAAGTTAAAGAACCCTTATCACACAGTAATGAAACCTGAGCAATGGAAGTTTGTGACTACAAGAATGTCCTTCATTAATACAGTATTCAGATTCCTCCATGGCATTCAAACTGTAACTTAAAACCCAAGAAACAAGACCCCACTTAAGCACAGGATCAAGCTGTCATGAAATGAGGAATACATAAAGCCTATTAAGCCCTAAATATTTAGTTTAAGACAATGAACAGAGTAGAACTCACTTCATCTAAAGAACACCATTTAAACAGTGCTATGTAACGTTACTAAGATTACTAAGTGTGGTGAATCATGTGATTCCAACCATTCATTAAAAAGCATTAATGAGTAACAGCATCCCCCAAGAACCTGAAGCCTACAGAGCCTACTATTTTGGCCTTATCTTTCCAAATAATTAGTAATGCCTTATATATTACAAACATAAATATATCTCAATACTGGAATTTCGTTGTATTTCGGTGCTCCTGAGGCTGCCTACAAATGAAAAGGCATCCAAGTGAAGTGCATTATATACTTTATACCTCAAAATTTCAGTGCCTAAAATGTGTAAATTTTCTACCATTTAACAGTCTGCCTTACAGTAAATTCTAGTAGATTTTTACTTTTAGGATTTTATTGTAACTTTGGGAAATTAGTGGTAAAACATATGGTTTTAAAAAACAGTATGTGGCTGCACTTAAATTCACATAAAAATAGCATTTTTACAACCATATTGAAATTTAATCCTTTTACACAGGTTAACAAAATGTATCACAAGAAAAATGAAACTGGGTTTAACAAAAGCAGTGTTCTTGAAAGTGGAACAATAAAAATGTTTTTCTAATTTTTTACAAACGATCACCTCAATTTACCACACTAGGGGAACAAAGTTGTTAAAATATAGCTGTGCTCTCCCGAGCCACTTATCTGCACTACAGTATAGCACTTGAAATCAATCCTAAGGTGGAGATTTAAAATATTTTAAGAGACAAGACCCTAAGAGTTTTATAGCCACCTCAATAAGAGGTGCTTTTCCTTCCCAAAACAGTCAAAGCTTAATTAAAAGATTGACTATACATAATTTTTTCCATGTCTTCAGTTGCAAATACTATTATCATTGGTAATATGGTCTATATCTTGTCTGATCAGGATGATGTGGTCCAGGAAGTGGGGTCTGAGAAGGCGGACCCTGCATTCGTGGAGGCGGCGGCGGCCCTCTTGGTGCAGGCCATATACCAGGACTCATTCCCCCTGGTTGTGTAAATGGAGGGCTCAGAGTTCCTTGATCTTCAGTGAACTGGGGTAAAGAGTTAGGATTATAATGGTGAGGAGGGGGTGCAGTTACAGGTGGACCACCATGTTGAGGTGGTGGAGGTCCTGGAGGAGGATGATTCATATAAGGTGGCATCTGGGCAATAATATGTCCAGGGGGAGGGGTTATTGGTGGTGGAGCAGAGGTCATTGGTGGAGGTGGAGCTTGGCTATAAACCAAGTGAGGAGTACCTGCAGCCTGGGGAGGATGTGGCATTGGATGGCTTATTGGTGGTGGAGGAGGAGGGGGTGGTGCATAATGTTGCTGTGGAGGCATAATATGATGAGGGTGTGATACCACTGGTTGACCCTGATATTCAGGATGATGGTGAGCAGGTGCTGGGGCAGGAGGTGGTGGTTCTCTAGCACCTGAATTTGAGTCATCCTGAATAGGGACAGTTATTAAATTGCTGTGTTTTCTTGTTGAAATACGAAAGGTTTCCTGACTGACCGAACGAGGTGGAGGTGGAGCCATGGGCAATTCTGCTGGAGGAGCACGAATATCCTCATGTGGCTGATTATAGTGCTCATGTGACACATGTTGCAAAGGAGGTGGTGGCATCATGATGTGCTGCTTTGGCGGAATATGGCTCATATGGTGCTTGTCTGGCGGCATTATAAAACGATCAGGGATTTCAGTTGGTGGTGGGGCAATAGGAGGATGAACATTTTCAAGTGAAGCACGGGTAACAGGTTTTCCAGCTCTCATATGGCGGTGGTTGATGTGAGCCTGTAAGTCTCTCTGAGACAAATATGTTCTCTTGCACCCTTGAACAATGCTACACATGAAGAGAGAACCCCGTGTACACTGCTCAATTCGCTGCACAGGATCACTACAGCTAAATTAGAAAAAGAAAAAATGGATTTACTAAAACAGACTTTAAAAATAATGCACTTAATTTCAAAGATATGCTTATTTTTAAAACTTGTTATGCAAAATACTGCAAAAGTTCACAATTAAAAATTATATTCTAAGTGAACCTTTAATCTTTCCCATTTTGTTCACTATTAAGCATCAGTATTTCTAACAATTTCAGAAGTCTTAATACAAGAAAAAACTAGAAGTGTATGAAACAATGTTTTAAGACCTTATTCTTCCCCAGACCTAGAATTTATCTGATTTTTCTCAAACAATAATATGTTTTACGTCCACCTGCAAAAAAACAAACAAACAAAAAAACACCCAGCAGGAAGTACAAACAAAATGTCACAATCATGAAATTCGAACTGGTATGGTATTTGAGCAACAAGCATTTGCTGAGCAAATACTAAGTGAAAAAACACTAAGATGTTGCAAGGACTACTAAAACAAAATCATCCTAATATCAGGGTTCTCAACATTAAAAAATATAAAATTTAAATTCAAACCCTGGCTACCTAGAGCCTCTTAAGGAGGGATCTTTCTGCACAGTCAAATTTACTACTATAAACCATTATATACTCCAGCCTTTCTAAATTGTAAGCACTAATTTTAACTCAATATTTTAATGACTCAGGGTCAAAATTACTATTCTTCATCCTCTATATTTAGTCTTCTCTTGCCTTTATAGTCTTCTGAAACAGTGGAAAGAGAACTAAACTAGGAATCAAAAGAACTGGGACTTAGTAGTGACTATGTAATTTTGGAGAGCCATTTAATCTGTTTCTTTATTTACAGAATGGGTTAAAAGATGTACTCTACCTAACTCATTGTTTTTATCTTTACTTCACTTGAAGAGTATCCTTAAATCAATGGAACAAGAAAAACAACACTATTTAATCACTAAATAATATATGTGTATAAGTACAAGCTGCTATCATTGAATATGTATGTGAAGTCATTCGACACTATATTAAATGGCTCTATATTCTTTTTTTATTTTAATTTTTTTAATCCTCATCCAACAATAGGCTCACTGATTTTACAGAGCAGGAAAGGGAAGAAAAGAGGGAGAGAAAAATCAATGTAAGAAAAATCCATTGGTTGCTCCTCGCATGCATCCCAACCTGGGACAATCAGGGCATGTGCCCTGACCCGGAATGGAACCCACAACCTTTTGGTTTACGGGATAATACTTGGACCAACTGAGCCACTCTGCCCAGTGTAGCTCTATATTCTTGACTTTTGAACTGTGTATTTCCATCCTTGTTGTAAGGCCAGCACTCCTTAAAACTAATAGGCTTCTCTTTAATAGTCATTTGACATACTTCTCATTTTTAACTTCTTTTCACTGCAAGCTCAAGACTATCTCCACAGTAACAGGAAGTGAGGCCCTTGCTTTGAGATACTGCTTAAAAGCAGTAGTATATAACAATTACACTAACCCGGACTGCCGTTTCTTCACTTTCTGTTCTGGGTCTGTTAATGCAGATAGGCCTATGCTCTAAGTAGCAGTGAGGTGCTTACTGGAGTTACATTTACTATCTTGAAAATTAAATTCCCTTTTAAATATTAACAGAACATTTACATCAAAAGCAAAAGCTTTTAACCTACTCTACCAGTGTTTAACAACGTCTAAAAATCCTTTATCCCAATGAAGCTATCAATTTACTATGTAATTTTACATGAATATAACCATGTTGAAAAATTAGGCATTACAGAAAATTAGGCAAAAGAGAATATGCACTTTTAATTTTATAATTCTTCTGAATTGTAACTGTAGAAAAATATTCTTTACACTCATAATACAGATTTTTCAATCTGTGACTTTAAAGAATAAAAACATACCTAGACAATCAGTTTGCACTCATTTGTCAACAAATCATCCTTTCTCTCTCAGTGATGCCAATTTTCCTACACCATACAAGGAAATCACCTCTTACAACTGTCCAAGGCTTTGCTATCAACCAAAAGAACAATTCTTGGGACAGCTTCTGACACAGGTTGTAAGGACTCTAGGACAAGGAAGCTTCTCTCAAAGCTCTCCTCCAGCCTTCTACCAGGGGTTTTACATTGATATAAAAATTCCTAATTTAATCTGGATCCTTCAAGACCATTCCAATATAAATCAATATGAACCAATGCCTCTAGATCATCATAACTTGCCTGAGTCTATGCCATCATAGTATTCTAAGGTATGCTTAAGACATAATAATCAGATTAGTAGGTAATAAATATAGCTTACACTTACACATAGTACTTACTATATACCATGTAATATATATATTCTATATAATAATAATATAGTATTAGTTCAAACAATAACCCAGTGAGGTAGGTGCTCTTATTAGTTCCATTTTACAAATGAAGGACCAGGCTACAGGGTCTGGCAGAAGCAATGCCTGCTTGAGTGTGGCTGGTAGGGTAATAATATGGGTAAATTAATTTACAGTTTTAAATGGAACATTTTACCTAAAATGTCATATGGTGTGCTTGAGTGTGATAGTTATGTTACAGAATTACATGCTTATGATTCTGTAATAAAAAGTGGGCATTATTTGTGCCAGAACCAGTATATCACACAGCTAATAAATGGCAGAACAGGGATTTGAACCCAGGAATTCTAATTCCAAAGTCTTTGCTCTCATTCACTATCCAAACTACTTCTCTAGTATCCCATCAAAACAAGAAAATCACCATTTTTTGGCTTATCACAAATTTTGTGACGGCAAATATATTTTGTCAATTTGGCTGATCTGAACTGACTGATAACAGCTACCTAGCTCTACACTAAGAAGGTTACGTCAACTCTGAGCTCACACAGAAAGAGAAGCCATGCCTACATATCTGGTGTGCTGCCACTGGCATACATCACCTCCGACCTTTAGCCAAGATGATTGATCTGAAACACAAACTTTATTATTCAAAAATTTAACAATGATCTTACCCTGGACACATCTTATCTCCCTTTTTTTCATGTAAAATAGCACAATCATAGCAAAACACGTGCTTGCATGGAATCTGTGAACAGACATATTACAATTATGCATATTAGAACAAACTAAAATATTTCCAGAAAACTAACAGTAAGGATAGTAACCTAGACAGACATAGAAGGCACAAGAGAACTGTTTTTTAAAATGAATGCTTAGCAAGTACTAATAGTATAAAAGTAACAGCCTTTTTCAGACACAAAGCCCTCTGAGAAGGTGATGAAAACTTTGGCCCTTTCCCTAATAAATGTATACATGCACATTCACTTACACTTTCTGAAGGTATTAACCCTATGAATTTCATCCATTGTCCCTACTGGTTAAAAGCTCCTGAAAAAGAATACTGTAACCACATTTTATCTCTTCTCCTGTCCCTCCTGAAACTATTCCAAAGCAATCCGATAACAAATATCTCCTCCATTCAATATAAGTAGTATTTTCCCCTGGTAGCCTTATGGTAATGAACTTTTAAAAATCTAAAAGTAAATCAGGATACAGAAAAGTGATGTTAGGCCATTTTATAATTCACAGCCCACTCCTGTTATTTAGCTATGTAATGTAGCAAAGCAACAGTGCACAGTCAGTGCCCTCTATATACAAACATATTGTTGAATTCAATTTTCTTCACACACAAATGTAAAACTACCTTTTTAAAATGGAGGATATGTCAAAAATACTATAAAATTACAGTTAGGGTTGTGATTTTTTAATGATCACAATTCTAATTCTCAAAATTAAAAATGTTATTAATTCAGTTTTACATTAAAAATTATAGCCTTCTAAAATGAATAACTGATTTTATTCTATTAATCAAGAAAAAAACCTTTTTCCTTAGTAAACAGAATAAATATAAACAAACAGGTATCCAACAGTCCAAAGAAATTTAGTTTCAAAAGTTACTTTCCATAATACTTTACAAGCAATTCAAGAGTTTGTCAAGCCAATTATATTAAATGCATATTATCCCAAAATTTGCCTTAGCTATTTCACATTTATTTTAAATGTCACGAACATGGACATTAAACAGTGATAAACCTATGTACTTAAAGTTCAGAATCCTACTTCTACAAAAATGTTTACATTTACAAAAACAGAATTTAATTTACTTATACTTACCATTCGCCCATAAATCTTAATAGGCAATCCACACTTGTCACAGAAATGAACTGGTGTATCATCCTTTTCACCAAGGATGTTTATCTGTTAAAAATGATATCATTAAAGTTTCCTTTTAAGCATTTCTAAAATTCCTATCTACGATTTACACAATTAACCTAATATTTTATAAAAGTTGTTAAAACAATTAGAAATAAAAGTTTCTTGGTATACTCACATATTCCACACCGTTGGCTGTGTTGCCAGTTTTTTGTTTCTTTGTTCTTAAACATTGTCAATGGTTATTGATTTTACTGAACTTTACTAAAAACTGCTTCAAATTATTTTTGGAAGTGGCAAAACTAGGGCATGAGTTGTATGTGCTGAAAAACAGCTATAATAAAAGTTCATGCTGCTCTTTATGTATCCTGCATTGTTCTAATAAAGTATTTAAAATATCTTATTGTTCTAATAAATGCTTTTATTTTATATATACCTGAAAGTCCCAAAAAAGGTGTCCAGGAAATCTTCGCTGACTTCCAAACAGTTCACCCCCCTTACAGTCATACCGTTCTTCTTCATTATAATCAAATCCTTCTGAGAAAAGAAAGGGTTATCTATTAACTTTCCATATCTCACATTTCACTTTGGACGTACACATACATGGTAAAATAGGCCTGTTCCCTGATGTTTTTTCAAAACTCTTCTATGAACAAGATAACTGAGACTAGTTTAAATTTCAGCTAGAAATTATCTTGGTGATTGTGTTGTACAACTCTTTCATTTCGAAACTGAGAACACTGCAGTAAGGAGACCGTAACAACACAGCAAAAGTAAATGGAAGAGCTAGTAACAGACCTCAGATCTCTTCACTTCCATTCAAGTGCTCTTATTACTGACCCAACTATCCCTAGTATAAAACTTTACTAATCACCCTCATCGTGCTTACTACACAAATGTTAAAGGTACCGACCATCATTTCATTTATCTACAAAAGTAGTAAGCCAAAAGAATTAATGAAACAAAAAATTCTGCAAATCTTTTTATTATTTAGTAAATTGGGTATCTTCTTCTTCAGCCTTAAACTGAGCCTCATTTTAGAAACATCAACATATTGATATTTCATCCTTCCAATTAAACTACTCCCTGGTTAATCATCCAAACAGATGAAGCCATATATATCTACTTCCATATCCTATCTACTTACAAGTGTCCTCCCCTATACTGCATATATCAGTATCAGTAAACTTAAAATATGAAGAATAAATGAGCTCTTTTCTCTCACCTAATGAAAAGGCTGATAGTAATCCTCTCACCCCATACAACAGACCCAAACAAACAATGAACAGTCTGATGGGAATTCTAGGTAGAATCCAATTAACTAAAATAAAGCTGAAAAGACAAGTCTGTCCCTTCAAAGTACCAGGTTTCTCATGACTCTTTTGGTCCTGGAACTGGTAAAGAGAGGAGCACACAAGTTTTAACTTTCCCCACTTGGCTAAGTTACAGCACCTGGGTACAACACACAAACACAAACCAGTACAGAACAGGCAGATGGAAGAACACAAGGACACATGGACACACACAGCAATGCGAAAACGTTTTAAAGCTTATACAGTCACTCTCATGCACTGCTATCTAATTATCTCCAATCAAATGTAGAGTTCAAACAGTGTTCTTGTGAGTTACGCCTGAGTGACTGTAGGTTCTTTTATGGCCCATTTTACACCTTATAAAAGCTGGTACCATCTAAAACTCAAAATAAGAAAATCAATTTTTCTCATTTACCTAAAACTCAAAAAATTATTGAGCAGAGCAATAGCCAAAGAAATTAGGAGCTCATTATACTTTTTGGAGTAGTTCAACCTGCACTGCCATCTTTCATTAAACCGTATGTATGTATGTATGTATGTATCTGTACAGGTACCTCACCAGCACCCAAAATCCGCTATTTGAACAATGCCTAGGGGAAAAAAAAACCAATAATTTTACCTCAAATAGGTAACCAAAAATTACCTTCAGCCTCAGTTTGCTTTATTAATAGAGAGACTGGTAATGGAAGTTCCCTTTGGAAAGAACTGTGGCCTGGGGGGTGAGGGTAGGGGGGAGATGAAGAGATACCTGAAGGAAAAGGGTAAAGGGGGATTTTAGCTTTTATGCATTACTTGGATTATTACAATATATGTACATCACTGTGTAGTTCCAAAAAAATTACTTAGAAAAGGCCAAAAGGGAATTATTTTGAAGATTATTTAAAAAACAAGAAGTCCAAAAGGCTCTTCTTACTGCTAGTGCAGCCGCAGCCCTAAGCTGCAACTACGATGATTTATGTAACATTTGACTTTAAATACTTGTTTAGATGGGGAGAGAAATCCCAAAATAAAGGGAACTGTAATATAAGGTATAGTTAAAAGTCTGATTCTTAAAAAGGAATACAGACAGATTACTAGGACAGATCAAAATACTCATAGAACTTTAATATATAATAACCGAGTAATTCTTATTCAACAAGAAAAGACATTATTCAATGGTCGAGACAAATAGGGAGCCGTTTTACAGAAAAAATAAGTAAAGCCAGCTTCAGTTTTTTAAAAAAAAATAACAGAATACATTATTATTCATAATGTTCCAAAGCAGGGGTCAGCAAACTTTCTATAAAATGTCAGATAATTAAATACTCATGCAATTATTCAACCATGCCATTACAGTGTGAAAGCAGCCATAAATAACACTTATGAATGGGTATGGTTATGTTTGAACAAAACTTTATTTGGCCCACAGGCCACTTTTCCCCCCACCCGGTATTTATAGGTTTGCTGACCCTATATAAAGATAAAAGAGGAAAACTTTTATAGTCACGAAATATGGTAAAGGCCTTTCTAAGAACGTCATAAAACCCACAAGTCATAACAGAAAAGACTAGCAATCTGCTACTTAGAATCTTTGAGTTTATTTAAAACAAAAATTTTATATATAACATTTGTCTCTTCGAGACAAATGGGGAATAATCACAATATAAGACAAAGGGCCAATTTTATAAATTTACAAAGAACTTATAAAAATCAAGATAAAGCCCTGGCTGGTGTAGCTCAGTGGATTGAGTGCGGGCCTGCAAACCACACAATCACGGTTCAATTCCCAGTCAGGGAACATGCCTGGGTTGCGGGCCAGTTCCCAGCAGGGGACTCATGAGAGGCAACCACACATTGATATTTCTCCCCTTCTCTCCTTCCCTTCCTCTCTAAAGATAAATAAATAAAATCTTTTATATAAAAAAATCAAGATAAAGTCAACAGAAAAAAATGGAAAAAGGATATAAACAGGTATGTCTTAGGCAAAAGAGATGGCCAATATTATGAGTATGAAAAGACATACAACCTCACTCATAATTAGAGAAATGTATATGAAAAAAAAATTATGCCCTATGGCGGGCCTATGAACCAGAGGATTGTGGTTCGATTCCCAGTTGGGGCACAAGCCTGGGTTGCAGGCCAGTTCCCAGTGGGGGACCCACAAGAGGCAACCATACACTGGTATTTCTCTCCCTCTCTCCTTGCCTTCCCCTCTAAAAAATAAATAAATAAATAATCTTTAAAAAAATTTTGTTTGAAAGGTTAATAATCTGTATCAATATTGGTGTGTGGGAGTATAACCTGATGTATTGTTTTTGAAGAGCCATTTGACAATATTTGTCTAAGTCTAAAAATGCACAGTATCCACTGAGTTCTAAAATGTTCAAATCATGCAAAGTTTAAATTCTACAAAGTATACATATTAAGGTGTATGTACAAGAATATTAATGCAACACTGTTTTTAATAGTAAAAAAATAGCACAAACTTGTTAAATAAGTTATGGTGATATCAATAAATGAGATACCTAAACCTAATTTCTTAGATGAGGTATATCTGTATATTGAGAAGGCAAAATCTCAAATGCATTTTATAAGAAAAAAGGGAAGTTACACATTAAAAAAGTAACTATAAGAAAGCCACACCCTGGCATGTGGAGCTCAGTGGATTGAGTGCTGGACTACAAAACCTAAGGTCACAGGTTCGATTCCTAGTCAGGGCACTCAAGAGACAATCAACCAATGTACCTCTCACACACTGATGTTTCTCTCCCTCTCCTTCTCCCTCCCTTCCCAGCTCTCTAAAATAAAATAAAATTAAAATAAAATAAAATAGTAATCACAGATTAATTTGGGGGAGAAGAGTGGTGGGGGAGAGGGGAAAAATTTTACTTTTAATATCATGCTTTCTATCATACTGTTTACATTTTGTTGAAAGTGTTACTTTCAGCAGCAACAAAAAATTGAACCAAAGTACAGGGTGGGGCAAAAGCAGGTTTACAGTTGTGAGTACACAAGACACAGAGTTTATTCTTCTATTATTATTTACTAATTATTGTATTATTTTCCATACAAAGAACTATAAACCCACTTTCCCCCCACCCTGTATTTATAAAGGGACAGAAAAGCACACCATACCAAAATGAGACATCAATAAGAATGAAGAGTATGTAAGATTTTTAAAATACAGCTGTAAGCAAGTAAAATCACGTGGATTATTTGGTGGAATCAGATACAACAAAAAGACTTCTGGACCTGTTAGTTTAGACAAATTACCTTCATCGCCAGGTGGAGCCTTTGCAGGCATTCTGTTTACAGTCCTCTGAGTGCGCGGTGCAGCTTTGGCCTTGTTCCCTTGTTTAGAGATCAGCTTTATAGGAATTCTTCTTCGAACATCAAGACCACCCAGTGATCCAGAACTATTAGTGCCTTGTAGCTCATTGTCTGTGTTAGGGGAAAAAAAGTTATAATGTCTTTTAGTTTTGCTTTTGTTGATAATTTTGCCACAGGTATTAAAACAACATAACCAACATTATCAAAGGTTGAATATCTGAGTTCTGATTATAAATATGTACTATATTACAAGTTTAAGTGCTAATTTTCCCTACTATAGATAAAGCCTTAAATAAATGCTTTTTGAGACATGGAATCTTTCAAAAAGTTGACAAAAGCTATAGAAGTCTCCCCAAAAAGTAGACAATAAAATTTTTCATATATCCCAGAGGGGTTTATAGAAACACAAAACCTTTCATAAGCCAAAGATAAGGGAAATGCCATAAAGTAAGAAAGGCAAACAAATTAGTTTAAAAAAACAGTAATGTTTTAAACATGACAAGTTATTGAACAGACTATGTAACTGCCACCATGGGAGATAGTACAACCAAAACTGATAGCCAAGGTGTTGACATAAAGTCAGTAAAGCTGCATTTGGAAGCAGTAACTAGTGACCTACAAGGCTAGTAGGATAACAGGCATATTAAATTCACAATGATGATTTGTACTTTTTCCGAATATGAAGAAAATTTTAAATGAGTACTTAAAAATTAATTGAAGTATCTTTCAGTCTACTTTTTACTATTACCCTGGTAACAGCTAACCCTCAAGACAAAATTCATAGAAAAGGAATTACACAGACAGCTAAAATCTTGACTTCAGATAAACCCAATTTTATCAACTTTAAGACCTCACTAAATGTATTAAGATGCTTAATAATGTATTTCAACTGCTTTCAGTCTAGTTGCTTATTTAAGCATAACTACCTACAAGCACTGTTACAAAGGACAGATAGAATGAAAATTTTTTGCCCAAAGGTGTCCCTGATTTTCCAATAACTAAAAAAATATTCAAGTTGTAGACTGACAGTTAACAGTTCGACACTGCCCTTCATATACTAAAAGGACTTTTAATGGTTTTACCTTGATGAATGATCAAAATACTAACATTCATCACGAGTCCTTTTCACACCACCCTCAGCACTTGGAAGTCACTACTGTTGCTTGCTTAGTCTACCACGACTTTCAAGAACCTACTGCCCCTTACTGCCTTGCTGCCTACCTCATTCTAGGACTGTCTTGGTTTTTTTCACTTATTAAGAAGCAGAACATACATCACAGTTTCCTTCTGAATATGCCAATTAAAAACACCAAACCCATATCAAAAATCTTTGGATATGACAAAGAAGGTGAGAACTACGTATATAACTGGCCATTTAGGTGGTTCTACTTTTATATTATATAGTTTTTTTAAAGGTGTATTTATCTTGAATTAAAGGAACCAAGAAATATTACAAAATTTAGGTTACAGTTACGACTAGTTGTTAATTCTTAGAATGAGCAAAGAATTAATCAAGTGTTAACTAGAAGTTTCTTGGAGCTATTTTTCCAGCAAAATTCTATTGGAACACTACAGGATAGACTTCACTGTGTATTTGGACTTTTTCAACATGATCATAAAATTGGTCATTTCTTCATAACCTCCAAGGGTTTTAGCAATTTCCTCAAGGGTGGCTTTTAATCCTCTGATATTAAAATCATTCTTTTGAGATGTCTAGCATGTCATAACATCTCTAAGTAACTGGCTAAGTGGCATTTCCTCATTTGTCAATGGTTTTGTGATTCAAATAGTTTATGAATTTCAGGAAAACCTGGGTCCTCTGTAAGGTTTGTAATCACAATCTACATGCAGCACTTGATACTGCTGCCTGATATGAAACATCAAGGATATAACAATGTTAACTAAAGGAACAGAAAAGAAGGTAGTGTTAAACAGCAGGGGATATCTGAGTAGGAACTTTTCTAGTGGCCCGCTTATTAGTAAATATTTCCATGTTAGGACGACGTTCACTTTCCTAAGGCAACCTGTTAACTTAGGAGAATTAGGATACTAAATACTCAGGTACATACCCACCCATATTATAATTTCCTAACATAATATTCTCTAAACTGTGGAACAGGCCTTTTCAGTAATAGGCTCAAATGAAAAATATTTTGCTAACATTGGATATTTGCTACTCTTAACATCAAGGTCCCAGACCTTCAATTCTATAATATTTCCAACTAGTGCTAGAGTTCCTTAAAGCCTGGGTCTAGGCCCTCTTCTGCATTCCCTTCCCTTAAGTGATCTTGTCCATCCTCATGCCTTAAAACATCAACTATGCAGTAACTACTAAGGCCCAAATGTGTTTTTCAGTCCAAATCTTTCCATCTCCCCTTGTATGCCTCAATACAATACCTCATACTTAGCAGTCCAAAATCTTGTTCCCAAATATCCATGAGTCACCCCTACCCCTTAAAAAAGTTTTTCTCCCAAGTTCTCCCCAACTCAGTAATGGGCATTACCTACCCACTCAAACCAGAAACCAAGGCATCTCTCCTTTCTCTCATGTATCTCCAAACCAGTCCATCAGTATGTGTTTAAGTACTACCACCAAAATATTTAACTCTGCCCACTCCCATTTTCACTAAATGGAACAACCTTTATTTACTAAGCCAAATCTTTCTTCTGCTTTATTACAATTACCTGCTAAATTGCCTATTTTTTATACTCATTCCACCTTCTTTTACACCATTCTCCTTAACACCTATTATAGTTTTTAAAGACATTATGTTTCTTCTCTATTTCTGTTCAATGTCTTCATATTGCACTTGAAATAAAATCTAGATCTTTGCTATAGTCTTCAAAGTCTTGCACACCCTGACTCCTGCTCTCCTTTCCAAACTCATCTTAAAGCTCTCTCCCTCTTCCTAGTAACCAAGCTGTAGCAAACTGGTCTTACTTTTTCCTACTTGTCTTTGTACTCGATTTCCTCCTGATTTACTCCAGACCTCAAATTATGAATGTAACCTTTTCAGCAAGACCTTCCCTGACCCCCTGGCCCGAACTGTCTCCAATTAGTCTTTGCCACAGTGTCTGTTCATTGTCTTTGAAGAACTTACGATCTTGTAAACATTTAGGATTTTAAAAATGTTACTGTGTCTTCCCCAATAGAATGTAACCTCCAGAGCGGCAGTAACTCAGTCTGTCTTATTTACCATTCCATTATTCCATCTCCAGGCATACAGGGCATAACCAACAATATTCGATACAAGAAAAGTCTTTTTTCCCCCTACTTGTGATACGGTTGGCATAACGGTATTGGGGACTTTCTAACTCCAAATGAACTCATTCACTATTCAAAAACCACACGGAAGCAAAAACCAAAAAATAAAAAACAACTTCACATAACGAAGACTGGAACCACTCTTACTTGGAGAAAGGGATGTGACTATCTTCACTTTAAGCTCTTCTTTGTAAACGTTCCCAAACAATGAATAAGGACCAGAGCCGAAACGTGGGGCATGCTTTGGGTTTAGGTGGAAGCTTCTTCGAGTATCATTCCGAACACCATATCTGATCCCCTTCTCCCACCTCTACCTAGTCCATGAAAAACCGGAGAGACAATAACGACAGGCGGTGATCACCGCAGCACCCGCCCAAAGCTGTCTGAGATAGCAGGAAGTCTTAACCCACTCTCGCGCATTGACTCCCAGTGTAATAAGGCTTCCCCACTCCGCGATTGAAAGCTACCCGCCAGTCCCATAATGTTTTTTAGAAGATCCAGCCTTCCTTCCCTACAAGGCCTGCGCCGCCCACCGTCCGGGCTCGAAACTCAGCAGAACCAGATTAAGAAACGGCTAGACCGCCGGCACCGAGGCTGTGGGTACCACACCGGAGAGTAGGCCGGGAAGTAGCAGGCGTTTGCCGGGCACAGGGAGGGGTCCGTGAGATTCCTTTCTCACCGCCACAACCCAGTGCTGTAGAAGAAGCACAACCCCTCTATGCCCGCTAGGCAACCAGTCCCAGGCTAGCCAAGGGGGCACAGTACCGGGACCCCCACTGCCTCCGCCTCCTTACCAGTGTGATCCATGATTCGGCTCGCAGAGCACAGTGGGAGCGGAAGTCAACTGCGCCGGAGTCGCAGGGGGCGCTTGCGCGCTACCTTCCGGAGCCCGGGAGTCGGAAGTAGGACCAGTTTGCCGCGGCACTGGCCTGCAAGGGTTTTCTTCTCTTGCGTACACTACCCAACTCCTATGAGGGAGTCAGGCATAGTTCGGGCCAAGGGAGAAAGAGAAAGTTCGCGAAGAGCTTCTCCTCACGTGCTTCGAGTGAGAGTAGCTTCTAACTGTTGAAAGGAGACCGACGAGAAGGGGGGGGGGAGGTAGTGCCCAAGGGAATAAGCTCGCGGCTGGTAAGACAGACGCCCGCCCCCGCAGTGCGTTGCCTTCTGGGACTTGTAGTACGCCGGAGCCCCTGAGCCAGCCGGGCCAACTGCGCCGGCTCCGCCGTTGGGCTGGCCCCACCCCGCGGGCGGAGTGTTGGTTTGAGTCTTCTCGCCATACTCACCGCTCCCCTCCCACCCCCCAAGCGCCCAGTGTCCACGAACAACTGTCTCCTGCCCTAGGTCTAGGAAAAGTGTGAACACGAGCGTTCCGGAAAGCGTTCTCGGCTGGGAGGATGCCCAAGGGATGGATGACTTGTGTGAAGCTTTCAGTGCTTGTCTAAATGTCGCTGTGTCGTGACGAGCTACATAGACCCACGCAAAGCGGACTTGGTGTATGTCCCAGTTCCCACCTCTTTAGTTTCTAACCATTGCAACACATTTATAATGTTTGGTATTCATTTTCCAGCAAAAACGCTTGTGCCTCTAGGAACCCTGAAAGCACACCTCGTAAGGATTGGACGCAGAGTCAGGTGGAAACTGCGTGCAGCGCAGCCGCCTGTTACTAGGGGACACCCGGCAATAAAGTGCGGAGTGGAGCTGAAGGAGCGGATAGACATGGGAAGAGGTGAAGAGAGCGGTTAGGATTGGCGGGAAGGGTGAGGTTAAAAAGGAAAGGACTGAAAATGAGGAAGAGAGAGTTACCACAACTGGCAGTACCTAGTTCCAGTTCTTGGTCCCAGGGGTTTGTGGTCGCCGCTGCTTTCATCTTCCCTGACCAAAACAAAGGAAAGTGCCAAAGAGTAATTCCTGAGGACCTTCAATGCAGTCTCCACCTCGCGGACTTGGCTTATTTGTGTCCACTCCTTTCCTCAACCCTTTACACTTGATGCCCTTGAGTAAGTAGAAAGGAGCACAATTAGTGGAAAACACAAGCTGAGGAGTCAAGGGATTTGGGTTCTATTCTTGTCCTCCCTTGGTGACGACATCATTACCAGGTTATTCACGCTTTCAGTGCCAGAGTTCCTTGATCAATAACAGATTATATTGACCTCTTTACAGAAATGTTTTCATGGTACTGAATTCATGATAAAATATGCGTAGCAATGTGCTCTACCTGTGTAGTTATACAGTAACAACTTTGAATAATAACATGATCAATACTATAAGTGTTGTGTCATTCATTGAGTGTTTTACTGGGAATCTTTCAAAAGACATGCCCGCTAAATTTGCAGCTTTATAAACACGTTTTTAAGTACATTCACAACCAAGGACAATTGTGAATCAAAGTTACCACTGCTTTTGTTAAAATGTAAATTCCTGTATTACTAAGTGATTTTCAAGATACCTTCCATTGTTGGGCTTATTTTTTGTTTTGGGGGTTGGAGGAAGCTTAACCTTTTTCTCAGATCTCCCTATTTCTGTAAATGTATTACTGATACTGGACATTCCACCAGTTTGGGGTATAAAAGCAGGTAGTTTTCACTTAGAGCACTTTTTATTTTTCTATCCTCATATTTAGCTTATCAGCCATACTTCAGATTGATGGAAATCCGGCTTCTGAATAATATTAGTACCTGCTAATGCTAATATTTTTTTAAAAATTAGAATAAAAAGAAACTTCAAACTATATTTTACATAATTGAATCAGTAAGTAGGGAGTTTTGTCAACATTTTATTGTCTACCAAGTTATGAAAATTTATTGCCCTGGCTGGTGTGGTTCAGTGGGTTACTCTGGCCAGTGAACCAAAAGCTCAGTGGTCCGATTCCCAGCCAGGGCACATGCCTGTGTTGTGGGCCAGGTCCCTAGTTAGGGTGCAAGAGGCAACTAAATGATGTTTCTCTCACTCTTCTACCCTTCCTCTCTTTCTAAAAAAAAAAAAAAAAACAAATCATCTTAAAATCTTGTAACTAGCACCACATGTAAAAAGTAATGGAAAGACCTTTTTAAAACATTCACTCAGGGAAGACTCACTCATTTTAGACTTTCTATTGATAAAATGTTAGAAAAACACTTATTGAATTACTTGATTTGACATCTGTTTTTATGCATTGCATTAGCATCTGTGCTCTATATTCATTTCTCCCTTAACTCTAGTTGCTTCATTTTACCAGTGCGGTAACTGTGACAAATTACTTTCTTTACCTAAATCCATAAGTGAAACTATACATACACAGGCTTATTTTTTATTATCGAGCTGTGTTATCTATTGTTGGTGACCTGTATGCTGCAATCAGCCACAGTTTCTTTATTGGAAGTTGACATTCACATTTATCTTATAGCATGGTACTGTCCTCAGCTTTATAAAAATGAAACATTATCATAATAGACCATCTGAAGCACTGAGGTGCATATTTTCATCTTAGCAACAGACCATCTGCTGGCCTATGAATTACAAGCTAACATTCTTCAAGATATTTCAATAGCTTCCATTTACATAACACTATTTTTGCTATAAGAAAAATAGGATGGTATCAGAGAGCTTGCTTTCCCAAGAGCTTGTTTGAGACTCCTCAAATACAAGATCAATACATTCACTTTCATATCCCTAAAGCTCAGTCACTCATAGTGCCTAAGACTGCAGAAGGTAAGAACTATATTAATAGTATAGTTCAAGTACCATATAGTCTAGCATTTTGTAGAAATAATAAAGAAGACACATGACTGTGTTTTGAAGGAATGCATTGCTACCTACATTGAGAGAAAATAATGAGCAGTAGGACTAAGGATAGTTAGGTAAGCTTTATAGATGGATTTAGGCTGAGCCTTGATTAACAGGTAGGATTGGAGAAGAGAAGAAAAAAAGGCATATCAAGCAGGAAATAGTAACAGCACAGATGAGAATTGTTATAGCTTCTGATGAGGACAGTGAGCAGCTTGAGTTGTACTGTTTATCATGCTGCAAAGTACTGAAAAATAAGTTATGATTGCAAAGATGGTTGAAAAGATTTTAGAGTACCAATTCAGAACATATGAACAAAACCTAGCAAGATATACTATATAAACATAAACAAAATGATTCAGAGGCATATATTAAAAAACAATGAGCAAATCATAAATTTATGGGGGAGGAATGAAATAATTCTGTTACAGGTAAGAGAAGGTCAATTGATCAAAAAGCCAGAGATCCCTATGATGGCCAAAATGCCAGCAAGTATGAATGAACTGTTAATAAGAGAAGAACTGATCAGGATAGTGACCATCTACATTAACAAGTATGATTAAGTGGAAATGGATGGGAAAAGCAGTAGAAAATAGTAATTAGAAATAGGGAATTTGGAATTACAGACTGGGGGTTGCAAGCCCAGCACTGCCATTTATCACTTGTGAGACTTTCAGCAGATTACCTAATCTTTGTGGCTGACATCCTTGATTTGTAAAATGGAGATAATAATAGTACCTGTCTTGGGATTGTTGTGAGAACTGAATATTATCTAAAGCACTGAGCACCCTCAGGCACACAGTAAATCCTCATTAAAGGGTAGTCATTAAGACTAGAGTAGTTACTATATCCATTGCTTCTGGAGGTGAGAGAAGAGTAAGTAAAATAACAGTGGAACAGCTGGCACATTATTATATCAGTATTAAACGTTAGCTACAACTTCATTGTAACAGGGAAGGTTGGGCAAGATCACTGGGGAGCAAAGGAGGAAAACCCAGAGTGGCACCAGAGCAACCCTCCCCCAAAGAAGGGTGGGGTGAAACGCCAGGTGGCAGACTGAAAGAGCCGCAGAAGAGGGGCCACCTCTGCCAAGGCTGCAAGAGGCAACTCTAAACACGGGGAGGCTGGCATGTGGCGTAAGACTTTGCCCCCTTCCAGAACACGATGGCCAGAAAAGGGTCAGAGACACTGTGACAAACGTGGCACACATTAGCACACATTGGCTGAAAAGCCAGATGGTCCACTGCGCATGGGTTTCTGGGCTGAGGCTTTAAAGCAAAACATGCAGAAGCGCTCTCTCTAGTCCTTGCCTTGCCCCCCCCCCCGCCGCCACATTGGAGTGGGGCACAGGAGTACTGTCAGGACTGGCAGATGTCCGGGGCTTGAGGGCTTCCCCACCACCACCTCGCACAGCTGGGAGCCAGCTTGCAGAGGTGGAGTTCCATGCAGGGACACGTCACACAGGGCACAGGCTCTTGAGAATTCAGCAACCCTGTACCACACAGCAAGGGTCTGATTCTGCACTCCCCCCTCTTGTGCTCAGGGCACCACGATGAGGCCTGTGCTTGGAACACTCACAAGCCGTGGGGATGAGAATGACCATGGGGCTCCGGGCCCACGGATGGAGCTTCCCCTGCACAACTGACTGAAGTGATCTTGCAGCAGCATGATGGGGAACTTCTGGACATGGGTTTAGATTTCCGCCTTTCTGGGAACAGGGGAACTTCTGTGTTTTGTGGAAGAGGTTGGCTTGGAGCAGGGATGCTCCCAGCCTACCACCCCTCCCCAGTTTGGGTACCCTGTTGATAAAAACCTTTTTCCTTTTCCACCAATCCCCATGTTATGTATGCACATGGCAGCAGGCAACAAGACCCCAGGCTGCTAGGTTACGTTATCTGTAAAAATGTACTGGAAATAGGTTTTGAAGATAAGGTCAATAAGGCTGCTTCAGACCCGTTAGCACACTGAGGCTTGCACAAAGCAAGCCTGGTATTTAACCAGGACTTTGACTTCTGTATACTGGAGTCAGTTGAAGTGACCTGCTCTCAAACGGACTCATTAGGCTTAACTCCAGCCTCACAAAGTCCCAGCTCCCTCCTCCTGCTCCCAGCTCTTGAAACTGAGTCCCAAGGTATTACCACATCCTAACCTTATCAATTATGGCAGCCAGTTTTCCAAGCACCAAAAACTGAAATGGGCAACAGATATTTTCAGGGAATGAGAAGGAAGACTGCAAGGATTGAAAGTTGCTGATTGAAGGCATTTCTGCATTC